CACCGTCGCCAAGCCGGGGAACATCGGCCACCACCCTGTCAGGCCATTGCACGATGTCAGCGAACGACCGTGGTCCAGTCCTGATGTCGCGCCTGTGCTCCCCGACGATTGGTACGATTGTGGTGCACTCGCTGTCCGCGTCCATGACTAGTCTGTTGAAGAGTTTGCCCCGCTGCTCATGCGGCGAAGTCCCGTCCCTTGGAACAAATTGACCCCAAACTGCTGAGGAAGCGCGGCCACTGCGATCAAGCTCCAACCTGCAAAGTTGATGTGGCCGTGTCGCGCAGACCGTAAGGATGCTACGCGTAAGGACGCAATACCCTTAGATGCATCACATGTACATCGCATGCCCATGTCTATGCGTGCGGATGTGATACGCATTCTATCCAATAACAAAGATGCAAGAGCAACCTGGGGATGGCATGCTCTCTATGGACAGGCGACAACCTTCGGGCAGGTAGGCGCTCTCATGTCGCCAGGATACTCAGGACAGCTCTTCTACATCAAAGAGCACACATGTTTGGCTCGATATCTGCTGGCTCTGAACAAAAAAACTCATTCCTTCTGCACTTCGCCTCCCTCGTTTGCTTTTCCCCCAGCATTAAGGCCGATAAGAGCTGAGAGTGGCAGGCAATTCCTTCCCCTTCCAGAAAAAACTCGCAATCGCATCCCAAGGGACCCTGGGGCCAGGAGATACCTTCGAACACCTCCAAATCAATCGGAATCTGTGGAAACACAGCCCAAAAGGACCCTGGGGCCAGCAGAAACTTCCAAATCTATGGAAATCGCAGCAGAAACATCCCAAAGGACCCCTGGGCCAGGAGAAACAGATGAAAAACACCAGATCAATGCAAAACCGCTGTGAAAACATATCCCAAGGACCCCGGGGCCAGCAGAGCCACGTGAGAACGTTTGAATCAATCGGAACCATTGGATATCACAATGTGTTCGCCCCACACGGCGTCAGGGAAGGTTGGGCGGCGGCAAAGGAGAGAGCCGAGGATGCTGGAGGAGCGAAGGTTGAGCTGGAAGAGGACGGCACGAGCCAGAGGATTGATGGGCGGGTGAGAGGAGTGGCGGGTGAGAGTGGTCTGGGAAGGAGGAGCGCGGAAAAGGAAGGAGAGGTCAAGGCCATGCGATCTCTCAGCGGCAGGGGCTGCTCGGGGGAGCTCGGGGGACCTCGGAGGAGCTCGGAGGAGCTCGGAGGCATCGGCCTCGCCTGGCCCCGCCGAGCTCCTCCGAGCTCCTCCGAGCTTTCCGAGCTCCTCCGAGGTGAGGGGGGTGGGGGGGTGGACAGGCTGGCGAGCTCCTCCGAGCTCCTCCGACCTCCTCCGAGCTCCTCCGAAGCGTCCTGGGACACCGTGGGTCGAGGCCACTCGGGCCCACCAGGGAGCTCGGAGGAGCTCGGAGGAGCTCGGAGGAGCTCGGAGGAGCTCGGAGGCATCGGCCCCTCCGAGCACCTTCCGAGCTCCTCCGAGCTCCTCCGAGCTCCTCCGAGGTGGCGGTGCGTGTGGTGGGGGGGGGAGGGGGGGGGGGGGGGGGGGGGGGGGTGGCGCGGGGGAGGGGGCGGGGAGGGGGCAGGCTGGCGAGCTCCCCCGAGCTCCTCCGAGCTCCTCCGAGCTCCTCCGAAGCGTCCTGAGACACCGTGGGTCGAGGCCACTCGAGCCCACCAGGGAGTTCGGAGGAGCCCGGAGGAGCTCGGAGGAGCTCGGAGGCATCGGCCCCTCCGAGCTCCACCGAGCTCCTCCGAGCTCCTCCGAGCTCCTCCGAGGTGGTGGTGGTGGTGGGGTGGCGGGGAGGGGCAGGCTGGCGAGCTCCCCCGAGCTCCTCCGAGCTCCTCCGAGCTCCTCCGAAGCGTCCTGAGACACCGTGGGTCGAGGCCACTCGAGCCCACCAGGGATTCGGAGGAGCTCGGAGAAGCTCGAGGAGCCGGAGGCATCGGCCCCTCCGCTCCACCGAGCGCTCCTCCGAGCTCCTCGAGCGGGAGGGGGGCAGGCCGAGCTCCTCCGAGCTCCTCCGAGCTCCTCCGAGCTCCTCCGAAGCGTCCTGAGACACCGTGGGTCGAGGCCACTCGAGCCCACCAGGGAGTTCGGAGGAGCTCGGAGGAGCTCGGAGAAGCTCGGAGGAGCTCGGAGGCATCGGCCCCTCCGAGCTCCACCGAGCTCCTCCGAGCTCCTCCGAGCTCCGCAGTTCTTCCATAGTTATGAGGTCGCGAAGCCTGACAGTGGATGCACACACATGGCGAGCAACACATCTGGCAGAGAACACGCCTGCAGTAGGGCGATCGTATTCATCTGACTACGTGCGCAAACGCCATTGACGAGCAGCCGCGGTCGTGTCCGAGTGTGCTCGTTGGCGTCGCCCTCATTGCTGGAAAGACAGCATGGGGCAATGAACGCGAGAGGGGGGCGACTCCAGGGAGCTTCGTGGGAGCGCAGGACACCACGAGCAGCAGGAGCGCTACGTCCCGATGGAGACTACAAACGTGTTGGTGAAACTCGGAACGTTCGCTCTGCTGGCCATCGCTCGGACGTCCATGTCCTGTGTTGTTTTCGGTTTCGTGCGTGTTTTTATTCGCGAAATGATCAAGGATGCTCCCCGATGGTCCTCGCCGAAGGGAACATGCACACGTCCGAGCGATGCCAAGTCTGGCAAGATGGCCCCACGCTGTTTGGCGAAGCCAGCTCTGGGCAGGCTTTGCCGCCCGGAAAGGGAGGGAGGGAGGAGAAACAAATTAAGGCGCGGAGAAGAAGGAGAGAGCGGACAGGCTGGCGAGCTCCTCCGAGCTCCCCCGAGCTCCTCCGAGCTCCTCCGAAGCGTCCTGAGACACCGTGGGGCGAGGCCGCTCCTCCGAGCTCCTCCGAAGCGTCCTGAGACACCGTGGGTCGAGGCCACTCGAGCCCACCAGGGAGCTCGGAGGAGCTCGGAGGAGCTCGGAGGAGCTCGGAGGCATCGGCCCCTCCGAGCTCCACCGAGCTCCTCCGAGCTCCTCCGAGGTGAGGGGCGGAGGGGGGGGATAGGCTGGCGAGCTCCCCCGAGCTCCTCCGAGCTCCTCCGAGCTCCTCCGAAGCGTCCTGAGATACCGTGGGTCGAGGCCACTCGGGCCCGCCAGGGAGCTCGGAGGAGCTCGGAGGAGCTCGGATGAATCGGCCCCTCCGAGCTCCTCCGAGCTCCTCCGAGCTCCTCCGAGCTCCTCCGAGCTGGGGGGAGGGGGGGCAGGCTGGCGAGCTCCCCCGAGCTCCTTCGAGCTCCTTCGAGCTCCTCCGAAGCGTCCTGAGACGCCGTGGGTCGAGGCCACTCGAGCCCACCAGGGAGCTCGGAGGAGCTCGGAGGAGCTCGGAGGAGCTCGGAGGAGCTCGGAGGCATCGGCGCCTCCTAGCTCCACCGAGCTCCTCCGAGCTCCTCCGAGCTCCTCCGAGGTGAGGGGGGTGGTGGGGTGGACAGGCTGGCGAGCTCCTCCGAGCTCCTCCGAGCTCCTCCGAAGCGTCCTGAGACACCGTGGGTCGAGGCCACTCGGGCCCCCCAGGGAGCTCGGAGGAGCTCGGAGGAGCTCGGAGGAGCTCGGAGGAGCTCGGAGGCACCGGCCCCTTCTAGCTCCTCCGAGCTCCTCCGAGCTCCTCCGAGCTCCTCCGAGGTGAGTGGGGGGGGACGGCGAGCTCCTCCGAGCTCCTCCGAGTTGACTGGGGGGGAACTGGCGAGCTTCTCTGAGCTCCTCTGAGCTCCTCTGAGCTCCTCTGATGCGTCCTCCTCCTTCTCCTCATCCCCATCCTCTCCTCCTCCCCTCCCTTCCGCCTCCTACTCCTCCTCGTCTTCCTCCTCCTCCTCATCCTCCTCCTCCGCCTCCCCCTCCCCCTCCTTGTTTCTCCTCCTCCTCCTCCTCCTCCTCCTGGTCCTCCTCCCCTCTCTCCTGGTCCTTCTCTTCGTCCTCCGCCTCCTTCGTTTCCTCCTTCTCCTCCTCCTCCTCCTCCTCGTCCTGCTCCTCTTCCTCCTCATCATCCTCGTCCTTCTCGTTTCGCGCGTTTTTATTGAGATTATGATGGAAAACTTCGTTTTTTTACCATTCTCCATGCGATTGCATGGTTTTTGTTGGTATTCGGTGTTTTTTTTCTGATTTTCAGTGGTTTCTCCTGGCCCAAGGGTTTTTTTTCAAACGCGCTCTATTAATTTATCTGCCCCAGAGATATTTTCCTATCACCCCAAACTCTTCTCGGACAGGCCCTCATTCTTCCAGGAAAGGAGATGGGGGGAGCGGATGAGGATAATAGAGGAGGATGGGCAAAGGACAGTTAGCGCTAATCTGAGCTCGAGCTGTTGTTACTGCTGCTGCTGCTGCTGCTGCTACTGCTGCTGCCGGCGCTGCCGCCACCAGCAGCACCGCGGCCCCTGCCCGCGCGCCCGCGGCCGCGTCCGCGACCCCGTCCGCGGGCTGGAGCAGGATCCGCAGCAGCGCGGCCGCGCCCTCTTCCTTGGCGGATCGGCTGCAGACGATTGCGATGGTGTACAGACATCGTCTGGACATAAGAGTAAGATCCCCATGTTCAATTGCGCCACGTGCTGCTACAATGAACATAGCGATCTCGGCGCCTCATGGCGACGTCGGCACATCATAGCAATCAACAACAACAATGAGAGGGCTAGGATATGTTAGGGTTGGTATTATAGCTATGGGACGCTCTCTTAGCTGTGTGCAACGCACGTACATCTACAGGGTGCGCTATGATAAAGGAACCTGATGTGGTAAGCAAGGACAGGAGGGGATGGATAGCACTGAAAGGCCAAGCGTGCGTTCTAGTAGTCAAACTGCACGTGCGTTGCGAGTCAAAGGGCGCCTGGGGAGCCTACTTTGGACGGGAGGATGTACGTAGCATCGTTGATGCCTGTTGAGCTTACCCTCATCGTCACGATGAGGGTAAGCTCAACAGGCATCAACGATAAGGAAGACTGACGATAAGGAGGGAGGCACGATGACATCGTGCCTCCCTCCTTATCGTCAGTCTTCCTTATCTGTTCTGAATCTCCAGGGGGGGAGGCAAGAGTGTCCCCGCGTGTCCTCTACCACGCCCCACTGGGGCAGCTGCGGCAGCTGGTGCGGCAGCGTCGGCGCCTCTGCCGCCTCCTCTGCCGCCTCCTCGGCGACCGCCTCCTCTGCCGCCTCCCTTCCGGCCGCGGCCGCGACCTATCGGGGCAGCTGGTGCTGCCTCTCCTTCAGCTAAGTCCAATTCATCATCTGTTCGAACTCACGCGGCAGGGCCAACAACAATTTTCTGCGTTTTCAAATATGACCACATCGGGACTGGCTCCAGTGGTACCCAAAGGTGACTGCGCTGTCTAGTGCAGCTGCGTGCCTGAATACACCAGAAGCATAACTTCCGAAGAGCGTCAGCACGAGCCTTAGGTCCATCGGCAAGAATAGGAATGAACTTCTTGCAATCTGTTACAATGTTCTTGCGGTGGAATGGGCACCGAGCCTGATAGCCACCAAACGCACCGGCGCTTGGTTCTCCAGGTTGAAATGGTGTAATTCTGAATACGCCCCATTTGAAACCCCTCAGTACAGCGTCACCTAGAGCGCCACCTCCGCCCGCGCCTCCAGCCGGGGGTGCGTCGCCATCAGCGCCGTCTGGAGGCACACCTGGCCCAGGATGTTCAATGGGAGGGGGGATTGGTGGAGGTTCAACAGCGCCAACACTGTCGTCCAGCCATGTCCCCGCAAGCCAGCCAGGCACGACATCAGGTCCAGGAGCCTCAGGACGAGCACCGCCAGGATCTCCTGAGGGGTGGTGCATACTTCCCTCGCTCGTAATCGCACGACGCTCCTCCATCCTCTTCGTTCCTGCTCGCATCCCTTCTCAAACGTGTCTCAGGTGCAGTCGACGTCTATAGTGAGTACGGAAGGTAAGAACGCAAGACCCTTGGACGTCCTTACTAGGGTTTGTGACTGTATCTTACCCTCTGAGTAAGGAGTTAGGGGAGGGTGGCGGAGACAACAGGTTCGCGACCAGGGTCCTCCAGCACCGCCATCGTCTCCGCCTGGGTCGCCGCCGCCGCTCCGGGGGGGGGGGTCTTCAGGTGGGTCGTCCGGAGGCTCTGGCGTTGGGCAGCCGCCGACCTCCTCGAGCCACTCGTCGTCGCCTGGTCTTGGGGCGTGGGGGGGCACACCCAAGTGGGAACACACCTGTTTGCAGCCGCGTGTGGGATGAGGAAGAGGAGGACGAGGCGGGCGAGGACAAGAAGAGAAGGACGAGGCTGAGGAGGAAAGGGAGGGGAAGACCCCCCCTCCCCTGATAACGACGGCGACGGCGACGGAGGCGACGACGGCCACGGAGACAGCCCACGGCCACGGGGAGGAGGAGGAGGAGGAGGAGGAGGAGGAGGAGGAGGAAGAGGAGGAGGAGGAGGGGGGAGAAGGGAGGAGGAGGATCCCCCCCCTGCCCCCTGCCCCCCACCGTAAGGTGGATGAGGGATGTGAGGGAGTGGTTTATGTTTGTCCTCAATCCTCCGTCGCCTTGCCGCCCGTGCTAGCTTGCTCCTCATCAGTCTTGCTCATCTTCCCTCCTCCTCATTGCATTGCTCCTCGTCCGACCGTCTTCTACAACCTCTCACCTCCTCTCGTGGTCCTGCCTCCTCCTGCCCCTCCCTCCCACAGCCGCTCAAACATATTCTAAGCTTTCCCGAAGCGTCACCTTTATCATCTGCCAAATCAGCGCCGCCGTCAATCTGGTCGGACTCCGACTTCTCGTCGCTGCCCTCCACGTCGGCGTCGCCGATGCTGTCGTCGGCATCGCCGGCTGCAAGCGCCAACGTTGCCTCGGCCTTGAGCCGCTTGGCGCCACCGCCTGTAGCCCGGGGTCGCCTGGCGGGCAACGCCAGTGGAAGTTCACCGTCAAGCTCCATGCCGCCGTGATCGAGCAAGGTTGGATGGCGCCTCTTCTTCCCGAACTTCGGCTGCTCATAGTCGCGCCCTTCCAGAATGGCGAGGTAGTGGCCATCTGAAGCGTAGTGTGGAATCTCGGAGTACTTACCATCGGCTATAATACGATCAACGCTCAATAAGCAAATCATGTACTTGTACAGGGCTGGGGTCACCGCGTTGGAGATCGAGTACCACATTTTCTCGCGGTCAGGCGCGTAGCCCCCCAAGGCCAGGCGGTCCTTCTCCTTAGCAGGCAACTGTTTCCACCTGAATCCCTGATCTTCCAGCATCTTCATCAACTCGTAACTCGTGAATGTCTCGACGGGAATGTCGTGGCGGCAGTCACACACCAGCCCGCACTGCTTCACTTGCCACAATATTTGCAAATGATTCAGCCCGCGCTCTGTAAGGTAGAATCCACTGTCATCCTCTTCCACAGCGCCGATGGCCATCAACTCAGCGACAGATGCATTGTCGTAGTTGAAGGTCGGGGCAGGGACGCGGCCGTCGCTCACGTGAAAGGCGCCAGCTTCCACTAAACAGGTCACGGCATCGGACGCGCTGGCACTGACGCCCTCAACAATATATCGTGCACGTGGGTCTATCGCCCAGCGGGTGATGGTTGCTTCCAGAACGTTCACGTGAGTGCCAAAGGAATGAATCAGTGCAACATCGTTGTGAGTAGAGTCAGCATGTATGATGAACGTGTCATTGTTGACCTTCCGAGATATCCTGTGTTCTGTGACAGCCACGTGCGTATCTCGGAGGGCTGCGCGACTCCCGGCTGGCATCCGCAGAAGTTTGTTTGACGACGGCGTCATCTTCACGACTCTGAAAAATACAAGTCCGTGGCCATCATCACGTTCTGCGGGCAGTTCACCGTCCACATCCATCAATGGGTCAGGGCCTTCCATCCGTCTCGCTGGTCCAGGTGCCTGGCAGAAATAGCTCCCCAGTGTCTGGATGTGTGCGCCGTTGCCCAGCGCGAAAGAATATGCACCCGCTGGTGCACCAAGCTTCCTGAAATGATCAAGTATGGCAGCGCGCAACATCCCATCGTAGCTGATCGGCTCTTTCGGCTTATCCCCGAGGGCCTGCAACTGTCGCGCAGTCTCCTGCTTTGCCCTCCGTTCGTTGTCAAGCTTCGCCGTGGACAGATCTTGGTATTGCGATCCCAGGTCGAGCCTGTAGATAACTCGAGAAAGAGGCTTCTCCAAATATGATGAAACGTCCTTCGTGGCAGCTCGCCGATTGAATGCACTTTGGATCTCTGGAAAGCACTGCAGGCCCAGTAGCGCAGGCACATTGGCAAGATGACGAGCCCTCGTAAACTGATCCAAGAGGAGCTTGAAGAACGGCCGATCTGTACCCTCCTCCGCGCATAATTTGGATTCCAACAGAGGCATCCTGTTGGAAAGGCTGGCCACGACAGCACCAGATCTGGACACCTTCTTCCTTGCCTTGGTGAGGACCGCGTGCTTCCCCTCGATCGTCGTCTCTGCAATGGGCACGAATCGTAGCATCGCGATCTCTCTCTGGAACGCTGCAGACAACGTTTTCAAGCCACTGCCATCTGCAAAGCGGCACAAATCATCATGGAAACGACCGTCAAACATGAAGGGGATCGTGAGTCGATGGTGCACACGCTCATCACACGTCACGTTCACAGAATGGACAATGTCGTTGGCGACCCGCTTGGCAATGACTGGATCTGGATGGGCCAGACCGCAGAGAAGCCACGGCAACCGCTGCCAGAAGTCAGTCTTGCTTCGAAGAACAAGCCTCAAGTGAGCAGTGGCTGAATACCACGACCGAAGTATGGCATCCACGTCGTCGCGGCACATAAACGACAACTCTGACATTAGTTCAGTGGCCCCTCTCCGGGACGAGTCGTCCAAAATTTGGACGATGTGACCCGACGCCAGCTCAGGCGCTCGTTTACCTGCAAGCGGGCACGAGCAACAATGCGGTCCAAAGTGGCACGCCAGTACTTCTCGCCTATGAAACAACGTTTTACCAATGAACATCGACTCGTGGCATCTGCAACCCTCCGCCCACGATGCGAGCACCTCTGGTATCGCATCCAACTTGAGGACGAGGGCCATGAAGCCTCTGAAGCTATGGCTGCGGAGAGTCTCAGAAAACATATCAGGATCGAAATCCTTCTCGGCCTTAGCGTCAAACCGCATTGGGTCCCACGTCATTGTGAGTAAAGTCATGAGCGGATACACAGCCTTGACAAAATTGTGAACTTCATGCCAGCGGGATTCGTACAAAGAATGGTTAAAGGCCTCCAACTTCTCAGCGTAGTCAGACATCGGAGTGCCGGTGATGCAAGTGGCGATGAACCGTTGTCTCCGTCCAGTGTCATTGAGTATCCCCTCCATGTTTTTCAGACGACCCCAATGCTCTCCCCAGCAGTCGATCGATGTATGCACCTCCTGCAACAGATTGTATATGATGTGCTGAATCCCTGCAACTGGCAACGCTCTAGGTAACAAATCCGCGAGCCCGCCTTCAGGGGCGGGCTTCGAGCAGGCAATTCAAAATTGCGTGCGTCACTTTCTATATCCTTCGCTCCCGTTCGCGCCACGCCACACGCCCTCACCTTACCAACATTGAGCTCCATCGTTACCTCGATCTACTCATACAAGTGTGTAGACAGCTATGTGCATGTGCACTGCCTAAAGACAAACGCCACTCCCTCGCTCGCCATGTATCCTCCCGGGGCTCGCGGAACGCGCAAGCGTTTGAATACTCAAGCCCGCTGTCGGCGTCCATAGACGCAGGTGGCGCTGCATCTGCTCCAGCACTGCAGACGACGTCCTTCGGGCGGATGGGGCGGGCGCGCGGGGGGAGACATCAATATCATCCTCTAGCCTCTAGCTCATGTTCTCTAATGGGGCCAAGATGTTTCAGAAATCCAAGGTCTCACGACCGCCAGACGGCCAATCACTTGTCGCCCAAGTCGCCCCAGAGAGAAAGGAGTGGTTCAGGCCTCCAGGGCTTGACCACTCAGAACGACACCAATTGACTGATTCCCGCACCATCCACCTCCTCATGCTCCTCCTCTTCGTTGTCATCGGTCCTCGCAATCGCACTCGGCGTCGACCTCCATGCGATCAAACACCATGGATGGAGGCAGGACCGATCTGAGATCCCCTGTGAAGCATGGCAGGCCAGTCTCGGTACCGAGGTCCGTTGTCACGGATGCAACTGATGCCGTATGCCGTCGCAGCTCTGGCCAAGTTGGGCACTCCAGCGCCAAGCTCCGCAGCATTGCCGAAGCTTTGTGGGCCAAGTTGGTTGCTCGGAGACCCAAAGCCTGCGGGACGTAGATGTGGTGGGAAATCTCCGAAGACAGCAATCGCAACGCATTTGTGACATCTGTGATTCTGCATGGTGTGGCATTAGAAGTAACCCCTGCGGCCAAGTCTTTGAGAATATGTTGGGCTTCCGATGATTGGATCGTGACGGCAGCGTCAAATACATCCAAAAGTGTTGCATGCTTGATTGAATGGCATTCGAACCAGAGCCAGTCTGCAAATTTGTTAGGCGACGAGTCAGCCCACAAGTACCTGACCGACTCATTCTGTCGGTTGAGAGCCTGAGAAGATAACATGAACGCAATGTCCAGAACCAGCTTGTAGCGCCGCAATGTCCGCCCATTTGGAGGTTGGCAAGCTCTGGAGCTGAGGTTGCGAATGATACCCTGCGATATCGGCACTGGCAAGGCTGCCCGCACCGCGTGCACAAGTGTCGTGTGGAGCCTATCTGAGCTGATGTTCACTGCACCAATGCAGCGGATGTAGTGAAGCATGCGTTCCGCATCAACTGCAAACCTAGCACCACCGCGCGAGGCCCCGGGCTGGTCGTCGCCAGCATGAGAAGGGGCAAACCAACCCCTCAGCAGCGCTGCCCAGTTCTCCAATGTGTGGACAGCGCCACCGACCTCGGCAAGCTCAGCGGCCCTGGCGAAATCAGCACGGCCAATGTCGTCATCAAGCTCGTCGATGGCCTCTGGGAGGTCGCAATCCATTACCATTACGTTCGCCATCATCCTCTCATTCATTATCCGTCCCCTTCTCGTCGTCCGCCTACTCCTCCTCCTCCTCCTCCTCCTCCTCCTCCTCCTCCTCCTCCCCCCTCCCCCTCCCCACTCGTCCTGCGATTCACTTGTCCACGCTGGCGGAGAATCTAGGGGGTCCTCATCCTCCGTCCTCGGACCCCCTGGCGTTTGATTTGATGAATGCTTTAGTTCCCCTAACAGTGCTTGCGCCGTAGACCCGAGGGTGAGGGCCCTGAGGGCAGGGCGCGCTTTAACGCGGCACCTCGGCCGGCACTGCAGAAGCGCACCAGCGGTGAGCCCAAGTCTTGATTCGCATCGCCAGGAATTCGAGCGTCGCAGGGCTGAGGTCTGGCGCGGCCAACGGGCGGAAGTCCACGCGGGAGGGAGGTCTGCGGTGCTGGAGTAGAGGCCAGCCCTCGATGATCTCTTCAACCCCTGCCGAACCATGCCAACGATGTAACACAAGAAGGTCGCGCCAGCTACCATGTAAGATCATGCGCACGATGGGGTCTGGAAGAACGAGGCAAGGAACGTGGGCCCCTCTGCCAGTGATTACCTCAGGATTCGTTCCAGGCCCCCCCAAGGCCCGAAAACGTCGTAGGGATCAGCAGGCGGGGAGGCTGGGTGAACGAATGGATGGGGCTCCCCGAGGGGGGATGGCGGTAGCCAGGAAACCTCTTCGTTCATATACCCCACCCCCTCGGATCTGGAGATCCCCCCTCATGCATGGGCTGGCTGAAGAGGAGGAGGAGGAGGAGGAGGAGGAGGAGGAGGAGGAGGAGGAGGAGGAGGAGAGGAGAGGAAGAGGAATAGGAGGGAGGGGTCGAGGAAGCGGGCGGGGTTGAATAGCCCGTAGTTGGCCTCAGGCCGGCATGCCCCACCGCCGTCGGAAACCAAGGGTTGCGCACCAAAATGTGGAACGAAAAGGGGATGTTTCAACGACAGCGGTCCAATCCCTTCCTCGCCTTTCAAGCTCATTCTGAAATATATTTTCATGTCGTCTGCGGTGGGCTTGCAAGAACGAATCCGAACACTATAGCAATCACCAGGGCGCTGGAAGTACATGTGCAACGCGCGCTCCTCTGGGGAGCACGGTAGGAGGATCAGGAAGGAGGACAGAGGGAGGAGGGGAGGGGCAGCGGCGGGAGGGAGAGGGGGGAGAGGAGGATGAGGAGCAAGAGGAGGGCGACGACGACCCGGCTGTCCTGCTCTGACCACGGCGTGAGCGCGCGCGGGCCCATGGCCACGAGCCCCTGGCCCACGCAGACCAAACCTCGCGGTGCAAATGGGGATGGCCGCATCGTCCTCCTGCTCCTCCTCATCCATATCTTCCTTCTCTTCCTCTCCTCAATGTCCTCCTCCTTCTCCTCCTGGCCCAACCTTCCTCCTCCACCTGAGGCCCTCGGTTTCTTCCTCGTCCTCTTCTCTACCTCCTCCTCCTCCTCCTTCTGCTCTTCCTCCTGTTCCTCCCCCTTTTGCCGCCCAGTGGAACATCGAACCGTAAAAGGAACAACTGGCTGTGAATTCCGACGACTCCGATCCAATATCGAACTGTCAAGGCCGCTGTTGGAGACCATGCGCTCCAGCCACTCGAACCGGGGGAGCGTCGCCAGCGCACCAGTGCAACCTGCACTGTGCATCCTCAGGGCCGGGTACGGGTGGCTAGCGATCCAGAGCCACCCGCAAGCGTCGCCGCCGCCATCTCCCATGGCGCTGGCATCGCGGACGGGCTGTCCGAGGGAGGGAAAAGCTAGCCCGCGGCCAGAGCCACGGGAAGATGAGAAGAGCAGCCAAGGGATGTCAGGCAACGAGGTGTGAGGAGGAGGAGGCATCCTCCTCCTCCTCCTCCTCCTCCTCCTCCTCCTCCTCCTCCTCCTTATCCTCCTCATCCTGGTCCTACCGTCCTCCTCCTCCTCTTCCTTCTCTGCCTCCCGTCCTTAGCCTCCGCGTCCTCCTTCTGGTCCTCCTCCTCTGCTGTTTCTTGTTTTGGGAGGGGGCGCATGCTCGTGGTACTTTGAGAATGGTTGCGACCGCCTTTGCTGGTTGGCATGGTGAATAAATATGTGGTCAGCAGTTACGGTTACATTGTGGTTCGCTCACTCCGCCCAGAAAGGCGTATGATGATGATGATGATGATGATGATGATGATGATGATGATGATGATGATTATGATGATGATGATGATGATGCGATTTGCCTATCGGCACGAAGGGTGTGGTTCTTCGCTGGGGTGCGGCAGTGGTTTCGCCCGAATTACATTCAAATGCGTGCGGGCGTGTTTGGAATCAGGCACCGTCGCCAGTGATGTTGCTCATTGTGGTGGTTTCGCAAAGCGTTGCGAACACCACAAACATGTTCACGCGTTTTGGTTCCGATTTATGGGCCATTCCTGAGGACGTGGCTCATGTATGCGAGTTTCCATCGGTTTCGTCCGATTCGCGTTGGACGCAATCGATGTTGTCCCGATTTTACATCAAACCCATTGCCGTTGCGAACTAGTTTGTTTGTTCTCTATGGTTCAACCCAAACGCTGTCAAGTTCATTAGATGTGGTTCAAAATCGTAAATCGCGCTTCTGCAGACTGGCCCCGCTGGCCCCATGACCGCTGCTACCGACCACCGTCCATGCTCGACGCTGCTGCAAATTTCACGCTTCCACAGAATAGATAATGAGGTCGTCTAGGGCGAAACGCCCTGCCTGCCCTGCCGACACGTCTGGGGATGCAACAGGGAGGATTTGTTGGGAAGGACAGGGAATGGAATGGAATGGAATGCCCTTACGGGGAGAGCGCACAGCACTAAGTATTGAGCACAAAACTCAAGTTACTGGCCTCTACGAGAGTCCTCTTTATCACGAATTTATTGTTTTTTGGAAGGACAGGGGATGGAGGAGGATGAGGGAGGAGGTAATGGGAAAAAGGATGAGGATCGAGACGTCGGGAGCAGCAGAGCGGAAAGCCTCACGTGGCCTGGACGGGGGTTTGGGGGTGCCCGTCTGTCCCCTATCCCCAGGACGGGAACCGAGGAGAATACCAGCATGAGACACACCATACGAGCGCGCTCCACTACTCGCACAGTAAGTGTTCGCAGATGGCCTGGATCCGCCTCGGGGGATCTACGATACGTTACATCGAAGCAGACATGCGTTTTTATTTCGGACGTTTGCGAGTGGGCACCTTGCGAGTAGTGGAACGCGTTCGGTGACACACAGGGGGGCGGGAGCGAGAAAAGCCAAGGGAGGGAAAACAGG